ATTATGCGAAGAATTCTTAAATATCAACAAGAAGAAAAAAGCTTAATTAAAAACTGAGCAAGACACTGCACTAACCAAGATATGCAGCAATAAACAGACAAAAAAACTACTCGTGTCTATTGTCATTAGGAACCTGAAAGCTAAGACAATGAGACCAAATTCCAAGGCATGACATCAAATGCTGATAGGTATATGGATCCAAACAAGCTTATCTATTTCTATGGGGAGTGCAAAACATCACGGTCACTTGGAAAGATACAAAACTAAACATATTCTTCCTTTATGGTCCAGGAAATTGCACTCGTCTGGCCTTTGGTAAATGTGTTAAAAACTAGTCCACACAAAATCTTGCCCAAAGGTATTTACCCCAACTGAATAATCATGAATAAATCATTCCTAACTTCCAAAACTTGAAAACTACCAAGATTCCCACTGGAAAATAAGTGGGTAAATTAGCTGAAAAACATCCAGATAATGAAAGATTATTCAGCAGAAAAAAGAAATGATCTATCAGGTCATGCATGAGAACACACAGAAGAAATTTACATGTCCATTAATAAGGACAAGAAACCAAACTGAAATGACCATGTGTTGTATGAGTCCAGCTATAAGGAATTCTAAAAAAGGCAAAACTATGGAGACAATAAAATAATAAGTTGTTACCAGGGGTTGAGGGGATAGACAGTTATGGATTGAACATGAAAGATTTCTAGAGAAAATATTCTCATGATACTTTAATGATAGATACATGCCATCTTGTGTTTTACAAACCCCAAGAGGTGTACACCGAGACTGAACCTGAACCCAAATATAACTATGGGATTTGAGTGACAATTAATTATGTGTCCACACAGGCCCACTGATAGAAAAAGCTACTACTCTGAGACTGGGTGTTAACAGTAGAGTAAGTTGCTCTAAAAAGGAAAGTATTTCAAGGTTTAAATTATTTTTTAAGGATCCAGGTATGGTGGCACACATCTGTAATCTCAACATTCAGGAGGCAGAAACAGGGGTGTCACAAGGTAGAGGCCAGCCAACAATACATAGCTAAACCCAGTCTCAAGAAGTAGGGAGGGCCTGGTAATTAATTGCATGTCAGCTTGACTGGACCATGAGATGTTCTGATATTTGGCCAAACATTATTCTACTTCTATCCATGAGAATGCTTCTGAGTGGATCCTCCCACTCTTCATAAAGTCACATGCTATACCTTGAGTCTTCAATGAGCACCCAAGAACCATATGCTGACGGCTTGGCCTGAAGTGCTACTGGGAAGTGATGGAACCTTCACAAGGTAGGGCCTAATGGAAGGAAGTTACATCACGGGGAAGTTCCCTTGAAGCGTAATACTGGGAGTCTGACCCCACCTTTCTCCCGTTTTTTTGTTTGTTTGTTTTGTTTAGTAAAATGCCCAACAGAAACAACTTAAAGGAAAGGCGATTATTTTGGCTCACAGTTTTAGAGGAGTGAGTCCATCCTAGCAAAGAAGACACTGCAACAGGACTAGTTGTTCTGTGACAGCAAGGCTAGGCTCCTTACATGTCACCAGTCGGGAAGCAGACAGCTCACCAGGACAGACCTGCTTGACCTAACAACTTTCTTCCTTCACCTTAACTCTACGCAACCCCTAAAACAGTGCCACCAGCTGGTGACCAGGTAGCCAATCACATGAGACTGTGGTGGATAATTACATTCAAATCATAACAATCTCGTCACAGAATATGCTGAGAGTCAATTGCTAATTGTCCCTAGACAGGTAACCTAATGAGAAGCTGTCAATTTGTTTCTTCTCCTGCAAAATAAGAATAATGACTCCATGGGAATGACCTGGGCCCTCTGCATACATGTGACAGCTGTGTAGCTTGGTCCTCTTGTGGGACTCCTAACCGTGAGAGCAGGGGCTGTCTCTAACTTTTTTGCTGGCTTTGGGGATCCTATTCCTCATACTGAGTCACCTTGTCCAGTCTTAATATGAGGGTAGGTACTTAGTCTTAGGGCAACCTGATATGTCATGTTTTGTTGATATCCATGGGAAGCCTGCCCTTTTCTGAATAAAAAGGAGGAGGGGTGGTTGGGGAGAGGGCAGGGGAAGTTGGGGGGTGACTACTAGAAGGACAGGAGGGAGTGGAAACTGTGGTCAGGATGTAAAAATAAATAAGAAATAATAATGACTTCTTTCTCTTTAGGTGATGAGGACTAAATGAGAAAATATACAGAAAGGTATATGTTTTGCTAGGGAATTCTTCTTCCTGTCTCCATGAGGAAATGTCAAGGCTTTAAGGCACTTTACATACAGGAAGTTAGTGATTGCTCAATTCAAACTAGCCCTACAAGACATCAGCTGAACTATAATGCACATGCCTTCTCTTAATGTTCCCAGGAACTAGCAGAAAAGGTGGTCCCTCTGTGCCATGAATGTCAGCAGAAGGGAGTAGGAAGAGGTTCCAATGCCAGACCAGTTTTAGCATTGAGGGATCACTTAGGCAGACTACCAAAGGAGTTTGACATCCATTTTTTTTTTAAAAAAATCCTACTTATCCTTTCTTTCCAGTGAAAACTCAATCCTCAATCTCCAGTTTCCAAAAAATGTTAGAATAAAAACCACCCTGGATAGCACTGCCCGGTGCCCAAGCAGAGCTCCAGCCTACCACGCCTGGACTGATTTTAATTTTCTTAGTAACTCTAAGCTGGGTGTTTTACTTCCCCCCCCCCCCCCCGTTGACTAATGCATGAGTTGAAGTCCAGCCAGGTTGGTCTGTCCCAGGTCACAGAGCCCGTATGGCAGACAGGGAACTAACAGAATCCAAGTGTTTAATCACCAGACTAAACTGTCCTCCAAAGCCCTGACCCACTACAGCCCGAGGGTGGCAGAAAGAGGGAGGCAATGTTTGAAGTCAGGAAGGAAGAGCCCGTCCCTTATCCCTCTTCTCAACCCTACCTTTAATGTAAGCCTTTTAATTCCAGCTCTGCCAATCCGCTAATCTCTGCGTCTAGTCTCTATGAATCCTTGATTTCTTAACTCTGATACCTTTATTTTTGGATGTTTTACTTGGGTCTCCTTTGCCAAGCCTTTCTCCCTCTTTTTTTTTTTTTAGTCACTTTATGTACCTAACTCACATACAAAAACCCCATGAGGCTTGTTTAAGGAAGACAACCAAATATTTGCCCAGTCCCAAACTTAATGCATCTCTGTGAATTTCTTTGTAGTTACAGTTGTCATTCTGAAGCTGTGGGTCTCTGAAGAGGGTTTTACACATTCACTATCAACCACATTTCATGTTGCCCGTTGCCCATGTTTACACTTATTTGGCTGTTTGGCCACACATCTTTGTGTATGTGCACGTGTGTGTGTGATGGGGTGCACAGGAGCCACAGTGAGCATGCAGGGCTGAGAGGAGTCAGTTTTCCCTTCCCCATGTAGGGTACCACAACCCAACCCAGGTCCTCAGTTGGGATGACAAGCACCCTTACTCATTAAGCCACCTCACTGGCCTACTTTTTCCCACTTCTCCATCCCTCTATCCTTGCTTCTCCTAGATCACTGTTCCAGATTCAGTTTCCAAGTACCTATTCCTGACTTCTACTCTAATTTAATAGATCTGTTTGCTCCTGCCAGTCACACTGTTGGGTTTCTAATCTTCCCAATGGCCTTGGAGGCAACTCTGATTGGAACAGCTTTTCTTCTCCCCAGTACCATGCAAAGCCTGCTTCCCCTCCTTGATAATGTTTTCTTCCACTGCTTACTTCAGCAAGGATGTGTCTCCCATTATGACACACCTTCTTCAAACATCCATTAAATAACTTCTCCTTTATGTAATGCCCCAGCTCACATAACACAATGCAGTGTAGACAATCAGAGCCCGATCAGCTTAACTAAATACTACATTAACACGGTGTTCTGCCAAGCATTCCAGTGATATCAGCCATGGCCACTCAATCTCCTTTGGGTTGATTAAAGACAAACTATAAAATTTGCACAGCCTAAGAGTCTAGGAAGAAGGGATCAGTTTGTAAAGTCTTTACCACACAGCTTGAGGACCTGAGTTCCATCCCCAAAATCCACATCAAAAAAGTGGGTGCAACAGTACTCACTTACAATCTCAGCCCTGGGAAGGTAGAGGCAGAGACAGGGCATATCAGAGGCTCACTGGCTAGCCAGTATAGCTGAACTGGTGAGCTCCAGGTTCAGTGAGAGACTCAATCTCAAGAAAACAAAATGGACAGAAACTGGGAGACACTTGACATTGACCTCTGGCATCCACAGACACGCTCACACATAAGCATGTTCCCGGATTCTCGCGTACACATACGCACTTACACAGGCTAGTGATTGTGACTACCTTAAGCGAGGGTAAAGTAACTATCTTGCCTGTACTCCTGGGAGAAGAGAGCAATTCCTCACACAGAGGCACACAAAGAAACCAGTGTTGGGGAGAAAATTAATGGAGGAAGAAGAAGAATCAAGAGGGATGCTCTGGTAAGGTAAAATCTGGAGGACTGCACTTGAGGCAAACTTAAGAGAAGCAATTCCTACCCTAAGGGTTATTCTAAAATAGAACATAGATATAAATTAATTCTAAGCACACAATGAAAATGTATTTCCATAAATTTAATAGTCTTAAACGTCTATTGCATGTTATAACAGAGTTAATGATACCAGGTTTGGGGATTTTTCTCTTACACGACTTTATTTAGTCTGACCTACTAAACAGATACTTGAACAACTCTAGAATTTGTTTGTATTGTTTTTAGCTTGTTTTGCCAATCATTTTGAACTAAGAAGAGTTTTCTTTTTTACATTAAAAGGGAGTCAAAATGATTAAATGTGAAGTCCACTGCTGTGCTCCAAAATTCAGTAGACCATTGCTAACGCACTGAAGTCAGGAAGCAATCACGAGCCGGGCTCTTTATAGAATGTCTTTCCTCCTCGGGAAACTTCAAAGCCCTTTGCTGACGCTTGGGCTCTGCAGCTGCCAGGAAAGAAATGTGGCTCCACTTACCTCAAAGGGGGTCAGAGCACATGGGGGACCTGCTGGGCCCACAGCAGACACGCCGCCCCCATGCCCACGCTGCCTCCACTCCATCAGAGACCACCCCAGGAACCTGAGGTGGGGGATAGGAAATCGAAAAGGTGCAGCAGTGCCAAACCTCTCCCAGGCCCTCCCCCCAGATAAGCCCCATAGGAGCAGGAGTGGCCAGATGTGATGATGTGACTCTGTGATCCTATCACTTGTCAAGATGGAAAGTAGGGCAGGCTGTTATGCCGCAATGCACAGACAGGAGATGTGTCTAGCTAATCCTAGCAAGGGTTTGACAAGAACGCAGTTCTGGCATAAACAGAAAAGGCAGATACAAACTAGGCATCACCCTGGTGGCTCCCTGAAGAGAGATGAGAAAGAGCAAGATAGGAAATCAAGACTGGAGTCCCAGCCCTGAGTCTGGCTGGGGTGCTGGATCCGCTTGATTTCAAGTGCAGACAGAGACAGAGACAGAGACAGAGAGAGACAGAGACAGAGAGACAGGAAGACAGAGACAGAGACAGAGAGAGAGACAGAGACAGAAAGACAGGAAGACAGACAGAAAGACAGGAAGACAGAGACAGAGAGACAGGAAGACAGAGACAGAGAGAGACAGAGGCAGAGACAGAGAGACAGGAAGACAGAGACAGAGAGAGACAGAGGCAGAGACAGAGAGACAGGAAGACAGAGACAGAGAAACAGGAAGACAGAGACAGAGAGAGAGACAGAGGCAGAGACAGAGAGACAGGAAGACAGAGACAGAGAGACAGGAAGACAGAGACCGAGAGGGCTACACGAACTCCTTGGCCATGTCAGGTTTGCACTCTGCTTCATTCTCGTCACCTTGCTTATTCCTCTCTTGAAGAACTTCAGTGCCATTTATTCCATTCTATACAGCTCCCACAGACTCATGAGAGGTCAAGTGGCAAGCTGTGGAGCTGGGATTTGTATCCATGTCTTTCTAAGTTTGAAACCAGATGACTATTTTTTATTATACCAGATTGGGTTCCTTTTTCAGACACTCAGGCCCCTTAAACCATGTGAGCTCTAAAATCCTATGATGACTCTCGCTCTCGTTCTGTGTAATTATCATACTTGGCTTCTAGTAGAAAAGAAGTCCACACAGTCTATGAATATTGGCAGAGAGGCTAATAAAATGTAAAAGCACAGTAAGCTAGATACTGTAATAAAATTTTGATTAAAATAGGTGGCTTCCCCAAATATCCTGGACATTTCAACAAGTAGGAGCTATAAGGGAGCCTAAGACTATATAATTTCCTGAATTATTTTGTAAGAACGAGTACATTGTTGACCTACAAATCAATATAATCTTTTAAAGTCTATAAAAATTATTTTAAATAAGCAGATGGGATATTCATAGCAAAATTATTTGTAATAGCCAGAACCTGAAAGCAACCTAGATGCCCCTCAACTGAAGAGTTGATAGAGAAAATGTGGTACATTTACACAGTGGAGTACTATTCAGTGGAAAAAATAATGGAATCTTGAAATTTGCAGGCAAATGGATGGCATTAGAAGAAACCATCCTGAGTAAGGTAGCATGTGCTCACTCATACATGGATTTTAGACATGGATCAGGGGAATGCCAGCCTACAATCTCACTGCCAGAGAGTCTGGGAAACAGAACCTTCAACCAATGACTGATGAAAGTAGAGGTAAACACCCACAGCTAAACACTGAGCTGAACTCAAGGAACCCAGTGACAGAGAGGGAGGACTGATGAGCATAGGGGTCAAGACTGGGATGGTTTAACCCCCCAGAAACAGCTAACCTGACAAGGGTTAGCTCTTGAACCCCAGACTGATGGCTGGGAATCTAGCATGGGACTGACCCAGACCCCTTGAATGTGGGTGTCGGTGAGGAGGCCTAGGCCCTAGGTCTATGGGGCCTTGGGTAGTAGATCAGTATTTATCCCTGGCCTACAAATGGACTTTGGGTGCCCATCCTACAATGAGACATGCTGTCTCAGCCTGGACTCTTGAGGGAGGGCCTAGGCCCTACCCTGCATGAAATGACAGACTATGGGCATCCCCCATGGAGAGCCTCACTCTCCCTGGGGAAAGAAATGGGGATTGGGGGGAGGGAAGGAGGGACTGGTGGGAGGGCATGGGAGGAGGGGAGGGAGAGGTAGCTGGGATTGACATGTGAAGCAACCTTGTTTCTAATTTAAATTTTAAAAATAAAAAAAGACTTAAAAAAAAGAAGCAATGGTGTATGACTAGGTATTCCGATAATATCACAAATGTTTGCAAGTGTGTGGTATATATGTTATATGCATGTAAAATAGATAGCAGATGATAGGTAGATAGAAGATAGATAGATAGATGATAGATGATTGATAGATAGATAGATAGATAGATAGATAGATAGATAGATAGATAGATAGGGAATAGATGAAATTCCACTCAGTCTCTGAGATCATCTTGCTTTTTATGCCCACAGCATTTGGCAGGGTTCATAAGCCCCCCCCCCCCCATTCTTTGATGGGTAGAGGAAAGAGATATTATTTCATGTATCTCAAGGTGGCTGTGAAGTAACAATGTAGGCAAGAATGACCTGGAACCCCTGATCTTCCTGTCTCTACCTTCTAGGTACTGGGATTGCAGATGTTCACTACCGAGCTTGCCTTAATTCTTTTGTTCTTTAAATATGGTTCCTGATCCTATGCCTGAGCTTTACACTCTCAGTACTGGTACCTACTCCCAGGTCTCCTCGATAGCTCCTCCTGTTGCTTCTGACTTCTAAGTAATGGAGTGCACCAGAGCGGTCCTCTAGCCACAATATCTGGCTTATCTCCTCTGAAGAGATGGTTTTATAAGATATCTATACACTAGGTCCCAAGATGTGTGACTCCAATTCACCCTCCCCTCTAAGCTCCCGGTTTACACATCTAATTGTCTTCTTGACGTCTCCTGTTGGAGTCCAGCAGGTATTTCAAACTCAGCACATCTAAGATATCATTCCCAACAAACCAAATGCCCTCTGCATCTTTTTTTCATGCAAAACTCCAAAACATCATTCTATTCATCCTCCTACACCCTATTCTCACCCGTCCACCTCATCCTTCTCCCTTCTCCCAAACACTTCAAGCTTGTTCCTGCCCCAGGACTTTACTCTGTCTCTTTCTTCTCCTGGAACATGACTCCATGAGATGCTCATAAAACAATCCCTTCAGGTAACACAGGTCTTTTTCACATGGAACTCCTCAGAGGGGCTGTCTGCAGGAGCTATCCAATTTCATTCTCTGGTCCCAAGATCACCTTAACCGCAGATCTGTCTGCCTTATCTGTCTGCCTTTATCTCACATAGTATTGTTTTAACTGTTGTTACATGGACTAGTGCTTGTCTGTGTACATTTATCCATAAGTATATTTGTTTGACCACTGACATGTTATTGTGGACCCCCTTTTCTATAAGTGACCTTCGGGGGTCCTTGCCAATTGTTTGCCAGTGTGTTCCAGTGCTTACCAAAGAGCCTGGAACACAGCAGGCACTGGGAAGTATGTGAACTGCATAACTGAGTCTTCTGTGATGCCCTAGTGTTCTTCTGACTCCCGTTTATCTTTGGTATCTGCCTAAGAACCTCTATAGAGCTCACGGGATATACAGTCCTTATCTACTTGTTTGTGTCCCTTCTATACCAGCTACCACTCCACTGTTAGTTAATTGCTATGTTGCTACCTTTTAACACAACTCTTCAATTCCCACAAACACAACCTATCCACTCACAGTAGAAAGAGAACTGGCTCGACGTTCCTCCCAAGAGTACAGTCTGGTTCAGCTCTAGGGAGAATGTTTTCCTCATCTCCGTCTCCTCCTGGCTCCTGCTCATCTCGGCCCAGGATACACCCCAGTACAGGGCAGCAGCGGCAGTAGCCGCATGTCACTTCCTGTCAGGTGTTGTGAATCAGTTTATGTCTAGTGCTGTGTAAGTGATGTAGTCACAGAAGAAAGAAGATGGGGAAACAAGCATGACATCACTCCTTGTCTGGAGATGAAGTAGAAGGCTCTACCACTGTCACTGTGTGGACAGGATTGTGTCCTGTCCACTAAAGATATGGACCACAGACCAGTAGGGTCATATACGTTGACCTGAGAGAGTAGAGAGTGTATTGTGTGGTCAAGACCAGTGAAAGTTAATGTAGAAAGTACTGTAGAAAGACTGTATGTCTACAATTTCCAGGGCCAATATACAGAAACAGAATTAAAGTCATATTGGCTTGGTCTAGAAATAGCCAATGAACCATGCTCACAGACCTTTATTTAAAACAAATCAACAGTAAAAGCTTAAAGATCATGCCTGACTATTATTAAAATATGTAAAACTTTGAAGGAGGAATATCATAAATGAGTTTAGAAAGGTACTTGTAAGTTTTTCCTTCTAAAACACATTAAACCAGAAAGAACAGTGTTCCTAGTGGAGGCAGAGGCCTTCCGGGTAGATGGCTTTCATAAATGACTGACAGCAACAGTACTTTCCTGTGCTTTACAGGAGCTGTATTTACATAATTGCATAGTGATTCAGAACTGACCTCATTCCTGCAAACAGGCAACAGATGGCACTGAGTTGTTCTGCGTCGGGAAGAAGCATAATGGAAACCATTTGCAACAGCAGAGCCACCAGAATGGTTTTCAGGCTCCATGGGCTCTGTGCTCATTTGTTAGCTGTTACGATCACTCCTTTTGAGAAATGTGACCAGGATTGTGTGGCCAGGTTCCTAAAACTGTCCTTCATTGGTTTTATTTACCTAGACTTGGCCCAGGAGGAGCAGAACAGTTTCTATAATCATTGTGGCTCACACAATCGAATGTTCTTTGTTCCTTACACTGTTTCCACTTGGATCAGTCCTGGCTGTAAATGTGTAGCTGTCCTCTGACAGTATCACACAGAGGAGTTTCTTGTTGACCTGGGATTCATCTGGAGCAGCCCAACTCTCAGCTTATGTTCATGAAGGAATGGTAAATGCAAAAGTCTGGTAATTCATGGACTATCAGGATGAGAACATAAATTGTTGTAGGAATGAAAATAGTGTCTTCCTACATCAAATATACAATGAACATTAACAAAGGGAACCACTGTTTTCTAAGTGAACA